TGTAACTCTTTGGTTAATCACTTTAACCGTTATCATATTTTATCAGATGTAACCATGGCAATAAACATATTCTTATTTTACGTAAAATAGTTTGAATAATATTTATCATTGAACAAATCATGCAAATTAATGCGCGTAAATTATTGTGTGACCTTTTTGCACTAAAAAAGTCTCATATTTGGGGTATTAAAAATCTAAATAAGCAATAGAATATTTTCTTGTATCAAACTTTTTACGACTTAAGTGCTGATCGGTCAAAAGTATCGAGTAGTTTAAAATAATGAAAGAAAAAGTTGGGGTCAGTGATGTAAATTTTGAAATATTGGTCAAAATATGCGATTTTCTGGCAAATAAGTGTTTAAATTTTATCTTGACTTCTTTAAATATATCTTCATTTCTTGGCAAAATTTGTTGAGTGAAGGTGTAAATTTTGTTATAAAAATATAAATTGAGACCTATATTTAATATTCCAGGCATATCATAACGGAAAATATTCTCTGAGTAAAAGTATGTGAGGCTAAAGTCCAAAGATATTAAATTTAATAAATGCGTAGATTTGCAGAAATTTCTACTAAATATCCTTCCACCACAAGAAATAGTCCCTTATAAATCTTGCTTCTTTATGAATTTTTGAGCAGTTTTTTAATTGAATGTTGAACATTTTACATTGTTTAATTTAAATATGTTATAAAGATTGAATTGTAATAAATAGTTTTTAAGTAAGAGGTTCTGACTGAACTTTTCTAAAAGGCTGACGAGTGACATACCTTAAATTATTCGAACGAATCGGAAACGTTCTACAAAGGGGCTGGGAGTGTCGAGTCTTAACAGGACAAAACATTTATTTCCAACATGATCAAGGACATTTTTATGCCCCAGTATCGAAGATTCGGGGGTATATAGTTTTTGCCCTGTCCGTACGTCTGTCTGTTTGTCCGCAAAAACTTTAACGTACCTTGCCCATAACTTTTGATTGGTTGGAGCTATGGCTTTCACATTTCACCTGTGTATTCCTTGTGACAAGGCCTTTCTTTGGGTACAACCATATTTGACCTTGACCTTGGAGTTTGACCCAGTTTTGCAAAACTTTCTCAAACTTTAACCTTGGCCTTAACTTTTGAACAATTGGTTTTAGGGCTTTCATACTTAACATGTGTAATCCTTGTGACAAGACCTTCCTTTGGATACCAACAACTTTGACCTTTTGACCTTGACCTAGGAGTTTGACCTACTTTTGAAAAACTTTAACCTTGGCCATAACTTTTGAATGGTTGGTGCTAGGGCTTTCATACTTCATATTTGTAATCCTTGTGACAAGACCTTTCTTTGGATTCCAACAACTTTGAACCTTTGACCTTGACCTTTGAGTTTGACCTACTTTTGGAAAATTTTAACCTTGGTCATAATTTTTGAACTATTGGTGCTTGGGCTTTCATATTTTACCTGTGTATTTCTTGAGAGAAGGCCTTTCCTTGGGCACCATTAAAATTAACCTTGACCTTGATGTTTGACATACTTTTGAAAAAAAACTTTAACCTTTTCCATATCTATTCAATGGGTGCTGCTAGGGCTTTCATATTTCACAGGTTTATTCATCGAGACAAGACCTTACTTTGGGTACCAACATATTTGATTTGCATTTGATAAAGTTTAACCTTTGCTATAAGTTACCAAACGGGGCATCAGTGTTTCACAAACACATATTGTTTTTCACTGGAAAAAGTATGAAAATCAATAAAAAAAAAAAAGGGGGGGGGGACAACTAAACTTCAAACTGTGTGAGAGAGCGAAAGGGAGAGAGATGGGGGTAGCACCAGTCAAGCTGACTGCCGAAACTCCAAAGGGAAAATTTTTGAGGAGAGAATATTTATTTTCAAAATCAAACGAGTGGGCTTGTTTTTGGGGTCGTCATTCACATGCACCATGGCCGTAAGAACCGGTGCTCAACCCCGGTTGGAGGGGCAATAATTTTGCCGATATATAGTAATGTTGACGTGTTTATATGGATAATGTCAAATGAAGATTCTGAGTTTGTTGTTTTATTACGCCAACAATACGTTATATTTCCACTATGGAAGAGTTATACTTCTTAGTGCGCTCTTTTGTGAAAAAGTCGGAAAATGTACAAATCTCGCGGGATTTCAGGGACAAACGTAACGTAAACATGTAAACAATATGTTGAATGTCGATGAACAAATCCTAAGAAAATGCAAATGAAATATTTTATTGTTGTGGACTTTATATACATCAAGAGTAGGAATGACAACGATATCAATTTATATCTATTGTTGATCGTATGTATCTATTTATCGTATGGTACATCTAAATACAATACACATGCCTCGGAAATGTCGTATTTTTATTAATGGATGATAAATTTAGGGTTCTCGCTCTCTTACATATGTTTTTTAGTTCTTCTGTTCTTTAATTGGAATGACAAATACATTTAACATTTAAAATTGGATTGAGATTGCCATGTTTTGTAATATCCGCAACGCCATGCTGTCCCTATCAGACGACCAAACACGCCTCTAATTTTGAAGAGTTCACTAATGGAAATAGAACGTATTGATTTATTATGCTAACTTTAATACGAGAAAACATATTATAAATTGTTGGAGATCTTAGTAGCATAGATAACCGGTGCTTGCGGACAGGACACCAACACCCCCCTCCCCAATTATACACCCTTGGTCCAAGGATTTTTTTTCTTCAGATTTTTTTTCTAGTTCACATTTATAAGGTGTTCTATATTTAAATAAAAAAAATCAAAGATAAATGTACAAGATACAAGATATTTTATTTACCAATCAAGGGCCCCGAGAGGCATTTCCACATATATAAATGCACAATTTAAACATTATTCACAATATACATTGTTTTTATATAAAAAAAAATATATATAAACAGTTACATAAACAGTTATATAACATTGTATTCAGCGTTAATAATCATAGACAATACCAGTGTCAAGTGTCCAAATTATTGTCACTGATCCCAAGACAATACAAATATGTTATGCTACAACATGTTCATACATGTATTTATACATTTGTATGGGTTTTTTCCCTATAAAATTGTAATATATTTCAGGGAAAAAATACAATAAAGTAAAATTGGAGAAAAGGCATGCATGTACATGATGACAGATGTATTTATACATTGGTTCTTTTACCATTTTCAGAAATAAATTTTCCAAGTAAGCATAAAATTTCTTTATTTTCATTATTCAAAATCCATACAATAAATGTCAAGTTATTAAGAACCATATTTGCAGGTATTATACAATATATACATGCAAGCTATATAATATATAATATTTCATGCAGCAGAGAGACATGAATGTCCTCAAAAATAAGACTCTGGTCATAATTTTTTTTAACATCTTTTACGTAAAGAAAGGATTTGAGAGCAGGTGCATTTTGTTCTACTATACTAGTGTATATCTTATAAGATATTGCCTACTACGAATGTTATCATATATACGTAAATTAAAAATTATTAGAGTGCTATACCTCAGTTCCATTATTTTCTCCTTCGTTTCACTCCACCGATAAATAAATATTTCACGAACTATTTTTGTGGAAAAAAATAAGATGAAAACGTGATAGGATGGTTACAAATTGCTTTTAGTTTCATAAACATCCTAACCCTAAATGTAGATACAGAAAATAATACAAAACGCAAAGAAATAAATATAATTTAATTCAGTTATATCTTTTTCTTATAATGTTTTTAGTTTCATTATAATCATTGTATATTTCTTTCTTTTTTTTAATTTTTGTATTAAGCTATAATCTAAGATGGAAAGGACAAGTTCAACGTTTATATACACTGCATGAATGCACAGATAAGGCCGTTGTTTTCAGAAAATACTTTTACCCCCCCCCCCCCCAATGATAAATATACTAAAATCCCAAAATTATTTACGGCTAACAAACTGTTAAAACGCTATTAAGATGTTTTAATTATTAAATCCTACGACGGAGAATTTTTATTCAAACATTGAAAACGTCAGAATAAAAAAAAAAATCCGGAAACTATATTTAGGGGGGAGGGGGGTCGATCTCGCTATGAAGAGGGAAGACTGGCTATGTAGTGAGACACCCCCCCCCCCCCCCCAGAAGACTAGCTATATAATGACACTTCCTCGGGAGAAGACCAGCCCAAGTTTGTTTCGTTTTTTTTTTTTTTTTTTTTTTTTTTTTTTTTCCATGTTAACTGCGGCGTCCAACCTAAAAACGACAAAAAAAAACTATCTTTAGATTCCATACAAAAAAAGGGGGAACACACACACACACACATGCACAAACCAACTGCAGTTAGGGGAGGAGCGCAAGATTGCTAGATAAATTAACTGAATTTTTTTCACCGTTTAAGAATTTTCTTCACTTGTAAGAAAATATAAAAATGAAAAAATTCTAAACATTTATTCAAAGATATTTTTTAAATCATGCATAAACATATATTTAAATCCAAATCTTAAAAAGAATGCAAACATTTACATGTATGTATATACCATCAATAACTACTGGGCCATTTTCGTCCGCAAATATTTTTTAACCATGTTAAAGGGGACGGAGGTATCTAGGCCTAAAAGTCAAAAGAAGCGATTTTTACCCAGAGTTGTCGTCCCTAATACACAACTCTGGATAGAGTTTAAAAAACCTACTCTTTGCCACATGACAGGTTGCAGCGTAATTGAATTATTTGACTACTTGGGTTTCCTATCAAAACTTCTTGAGAAATCTTGGGGTATGATATAGAACATTACGGAATACACAATCCATCACGACCAAAGTGCCTGATCACACTCGGAGCTCCTCGTGTGGCTCGTACCTCGCACACTAACCGTTTGTGTGGAGCGTAGCGGAGTCAGCCGAGGATTGCCGATTGGCCTGCTCATCATAAATTGGTTCCCAGAGGTTTAACCAATCAGAGATCGGGCACTACATGCTTATGAAAGGGGTCAAGTAGTAAACAAACGATCACTCCCCCTGGCATGGGCTTTTATTACTGTTCATCACGTCCATGTAGTGAAACAATGGTGCTAAATATTTTGACGGAAATTTAACTGGAAGTAGTTGCATAGTCTGCACTGTAATGCTCAGTGAGCTGGATTCCTGCGGTTGTTTGATTTTACACATCGTGTGATCAGCTGTTAAAGACCATGGCAGATTATTTAAGTGATGCTTCCTCCGACAGTGAATCAAATAGCCGGAATTCTGAGGATTCCAGCTACAGCAACCTCTCTACGATCCCAGATAACTTGATCCCCCGTGCCAAAGAGATCCTCTCCCTCAAAATGAACCACAATGAGATTTTATTGCTCCCACCGTCTATATCTGTGTTTGTGAACTTGCTCTCTCTTGATCTCAGCAATAACCACCTAACTCATATACCTAAAGAGTTGATAAGTCTTAGGTGTTTAAGGAAACTTCTAGTCAAAAGCAATGGATTATCCTGTGCATCTATTCCTAAGGACTTTGGACTGCTGTCATCTTTGGAGGTGTTAAACTTTAGTGGAAATTCACTTGAAACCTTTCCTCCCCAGTTTACAGAACTATCAAATCTACGACGTCTTTACCTGGGTGGGAATTGTATATCAGAAATGCCAAATTCTATCAAAAACTTGCAGAGGTACAAAGTACTGTTTTGTTTTTTACTAAGCTGTTATGATTGCCTGAGGCAGTTAGCATGATGACAACTGTCAGTGTTTCACAGTAGATCCTGTTTTTATTTAAAATCAGATTTCACCTTTTAGTGCACTAAGAAATGATAAAGTGCTTACAAAAACAATTTATCATTAGCATTACTACGCAAATAAACATTTGTTTCAAGGTTTGTTTGTTTTTTTTAATGAAGCAATTTAGCACATTTTTGTCTCCTTAAAGTCGCCTTTAAACAATGGTAATGATATTACTTTCATCTGAAATTAGATGTGGCTTTAAAATTAATTGTATTTTACCATTTTTTCCTACATTTACATGTAACTGTGATTTTCACTTTTTCTTTCTTTTCAGACTAGAGGTATTGTACCTCGGTGGAAATCGACTAACAGAGGTCCCAGCAGAAATAGGACAGCTTTATAATCTCTCCTGTTTAATACTGTGTGACAATCAAATTCAAAGCATTCCACCAACACTGATCCAGCTCCGAAAATTACAGTCGCTAAGTCTCCACAATAACCAAATCTCTACCCTCCCTCCTGAGATTGTGAGACTTAATCTCTCGGAACTCAGTCTCAGGAATAATCCTCTTGTGAACAAATTTGTACAAGACATGACTTACGAACCACCCACTCTACTAGAGCTATCAGGAAGAGTGATTAAAATAGAAAAAGTCAAGTATACCAAAAACGATCTCCCTAGTAATCTACGAAAATATCTGGCATCTGCTCAGAGATGTGTGAACCCCAAATGTAAAGGTAAATAATGAATCAATTAAAGCATAACAGATGTGAATACTGCTCTAAAAATAAACACAAGTAGCCATAAATATATATTATACAATATCAGAACCAGAACATGTCCAGTAAATCAATCTTGGATAAAATGCAGCTTACCTTTATTGAACCCGTGCCAGGTTAATGCATAGAATGTTATCCTAATTTGCTTTGTCAGTAAACATAGTAAATGTCTTAAAATTCTAGTCTACAGCCATTTTACAACAAATAGAAATATTTTTGTGGAACACTGGAACCTAACTACCTACTTATTAATCATTATTTCTACAAATTTTACAAAATTTACAGTACATCTAATGTCATCTATTTCAGTACACCTTATGTCACCTATTTAGTCATTGAAGGTTTCTTTTTTTTTCTACAGGTGTGTATTTTACATCAAGGATTGAGCATGTGAAGTTTGTAGACTTCTGTGGGAAATATCGCCTCCCCTTGTTGCAGTATCTGTGTTCCCCTCAGTGTAGGACAATACCAGCTGTGTACCACAGCAGCAGTGACACCGAAACAGACGAAGAGGAAGTGGCCAACGCAAAACTACGCCGCGTGCTGCTGGGGTAGCCATCTGCTACATCACAAGACAATGCTTCCATGCCCCCGCACAAATGGCAAACAGAATAGATGTTATCTATCAATGCATTGAAACCACATTCACAGATTTATGAAACTGTATGTCATTGTGGTTTGAAATGTATTCCAAAAGTCTTAAATGTGAAATACGGGTATTTGTAATTTTTTTTTTTTTAGAGTTTAGTTAATTATAGTCTATGGAAAGGTATATTTTTGTTGACTTCTGTTTTTCTTTTTTATGATTAATATCCAATGAAACTGCTATAAGATATATATTGAATTAAACACTTATCTTGAAGTAAAAATTAGTGATACTGTCTGTTACTTGCTTCAGCAAAGTTTTACACTTGGAAAATGTGCAAAATTGTGTTAATTGTACAAGATTATCGGTGTTTGTATCCCCATTACTGCAGCAATGTCACTATATCGAGAGAACTTATTTAATTATTATTTTTCACTAGTCCAATTTGTCTCACAGTCTTTTTTTTAAATATGTTTTTTAACCTCTAACCTTTCTTTAACCTTTCTCAATGTTTATACTTTACCCACGACTTTCCTAAAAATTGTACTAGAGTAGGCAATGCTAGGCATTGAGATAGACTTAATTCCCATGTTTTTATTGGGCATTTCAATAACAAAACAACAGCCAAAAAAAAAAAAAAAAAAAATGGACAGAACAGAGGTCTATTTGCAGAAGGAATTATGACTTAAACAAAAATCTACTCTTAATCTTTTTTTCTTGTAACTTATTTGTGAACATATTATTATTATTTTTTTTTTTTTCATTTTTAAATTCTATAGCAGGATTTTTCTCTAAAAGTTGTTTACCATAGTAAGAAAGGGTTATGAATCCTCTAGGGTATTAGATCTAAATCAAACATTTATAGGAGGAGGTACAGAATTTATATTGATTTGTCATTTTTTTCCCCATTTTCATTGCAATCAGAGATCCAGAAAGAAAAAAAACAAAACTTACACTGAGGATATTGTTATAAAATATATTTAATAATGATACTATTAGAAGTATTAAAAGTTTGGGAACTTTGCAAAGTTCCGCACATTTTGTTATACATATCAGTGGTGCATGTAAAATGGGGGTGGCACCCCCACCCCTTTTCTCATCACCAGATTTTAAGTGCAAGCAGTACTTAGTGCATCAGTATTTAGATAAACTTTATTTGTACAAAATCACATTTTTATTATCAAGTATGGGTCAGTAAAAACACATATATTTAATTTTATGTTTTGGGCATTGGTTTCACTAAATCCAAGCCACTGTGAGAAAAAATTTCATTACAATTATATTTAAATTATTATACTTCTACAATGTGATAATTTTTATTCTTGGATAAAGCTCAGAAAATACAATTTTGCTTCTTTTAAAATAAAAAATAAAATTGGGAGAGAGGAGGCTTTGATTCCATCTTTGGCATTTGTTTGCTTGCTAAGGGTGTGATTGTGCTAAAATGTGCTATTTACTAAGAAACTACATGTACATAAAATTTTATACATGTATAAGCTTTTTATTTTAAAACAGTGTGTGTACATTATCCTTAAAATAATCTTCAAATTTTCCAAAGGTGCTTTCAGAAGAATGAATAAAATTTTTTAATTTGCCCTGCATATGGCTTATGTTTTAGATTGTAATAAGAAAAAAATGCATTAGAAACATATCATGGCATAATGTGCTTTATATAGTATGTGCAACTTGTACATGTATATGAGTTTGGCAACAAAATTGGTTCTTTTTTTTTTCTTTTTTTTAACAAAAGATCTTGAGAGAAATTCTTAAAATGTTACATAGCTTTTAAATCTCACTAACTTAATAATTTGGTGAGACTATATAGAAAACAAGAGGCCCTAGGGCTAGAATTGCTCTTCTGAAAATTGTACAACCTATAATCTTTTCCGTTTTAAGCCTCTTGGTAACCAATATATAAGGATAAAGCCTTGAAATTCCAAAAGTAGGACAGCATGGCAACAGCTAACAAAGTTTGATAATTCCAAGCCAATTAGTGTCAGAAATATTTAAATTTAGCCATGAAGTTGCAGAAGTAGGTCACAATGGCCTACTTTTGGTTGATACACTCAGAGGACTCAAGATTCATCAACCAACAAAATTTCATGGTGACCTACTTTTTGGTTGAAACACTCCAGGTACCCAAGAGGCATCAACTGAAAAAAGTTTGATAATTCCAAGCCAATTAGCATCTGAAATATTCAAATTAAGCCATGAAATAGCAAAAGTAGGTCACAGTGACCTACTTTTTGGGTTATACACTCAGAGGACTGAAGATGCATCAACTGACAACTGACAGAGTTTGATGATTCTAAGCCAATTAGTAACTTATAAAGCCATCAAATTCCAAAAAGTGGGTTATGGTGACCTACTTTTTGGTTAACACACTGAGGACTCAAGATGCATCAACTGACAAAGTTTGAAGATTCTTAGCTATTAGTATCTGAAATATTTAAATTAAGCCATGAAATTGATAAAGTAGGTCAAGGTGACCTTTTTTTGGTTGACACACTCTGAGGACCCAAGATCCATCAACTGACAAAGTTTGATGATCCTATGCTTCAAAGTGTCCAATATATGCCTCTACAACAATTTGAAAATGATATACCTGTAAAATTTCAAAAGAAGGTCACTGTGAGTCTGTAACCTACTTTTTGACGTATCTGTTTTTAAAAGGCCCCCAGGTGCATCAACTTATAAGATTTGATGATTTTAAATCTCTAATCTCTTAGTATCTGAATTAATTACCTTTAATGTTTAGAAAATTATTAGCCATAAAATTCAGAAAGTAGGTCATGGTGACCTACTTTTTGGTTGACACACTTCAAGATCCCATGATGCATAAACTGACAAGTTTTAATGATCATAGGCTTCAAAGTATCCAAGTTATGCATCAAAATTAAACTGAAAATGAATACCTGCAAAATTCAAAAAGTAGGTCACCATGACCTACTTTTGAGTCAACATGAAATGAGGTCTGAAGATGCATCAACTGACAAGATTTGATGATCCTAGGCCTTATAGTAGGCAAAATATCAAAGATTTAACAAAACTTAATTTTTGGTCAACTTTGAAGTGACCTTGAGACCACCCCCTTTGCCCCAGGGTGATGCCTTGAACTATTTTTAATCTACAATATATCCTCATCCTTGTATGCAAGTTTGGTGATAATCTGCCCAGTGGTTTTTGAGAAGATTTTCAGCAACCACTTTTGTTTTTATTTCCCTAATTATCTCCCCTTGTTTCAGGTTTAGTATAAATGAAAGCCCTTAGGCCAAGGATACTCTGTGACAAATTTGAAAAAAAAATTGACTAAGGGGTTCTTGAGATATGGCCCATTTTTCAAAAAGTTTACGCACACCACACAAATGGCCATAGCATAAGCTCTTTGAGCCTTTGGCTCAGAAGAGGTAATAAAATAATTACTTAATCCGTTTAATTCAGCTTAAATTGCAATTTTATCAACATAAAGATGAAATAGATTGCAAAAGTAGATTTTGATCTTATTCATAAGTTCTTTCGTAAAACAGGCAGCTGAACTTAGTTTTAACTTGTACATTTAACTTAAATGCAATCACCATGCCTGGGGCCATGTCTTCCTTACCTTAACAATGTATTAACCTTTCTGATGATTCTGAAGATTTGAACATAAATGCAGAAAATCAGGAGATGTATTTGGGTTCAGTACAGATTGATGTGAGAGAAGTGAAACTCAATGAGTAAACAAGATACTCTTCAATAAAACGGAATCCACACATGTAAATAAATTTACTACATAATCACTCTCTTGCTTTGAAAGCATATATAGTCCTTAAAATTTCACAAAACCCTTGCTAAAAATTAATTACCAATAAGACCATTTCACTTTATTCAGATTTTTATCTATTAATTTAGAATTATTATTTTCTTCTTTTTTTATTTTTGAAAATTTACATCATTTTTCTGATTTTTATAAAAAGTATCTCCCCCCTTAAAAATATGCTGTCAACTATATTTACATGTACCATTGATATTCTCACTTGAACTTCTAACATTGGTGGACCAGATACAGGATAACAAGTGACATTAGAAGTTCAGACTTGGTACAAGAGTAGATAAGTGTTACAACATCATTTTCTATCCTGGTTTTATTCTTGATGCATGACATGAATTTATTTACACAATACTGTAAATGTATATGTACAATTGTGTTGGATTTTGCTATGAACATATTCTCATTGTCTCGTGATCCAAACAACTTTTTAATAAACTGTAGTACATGTACATGGACATTTTTGGATTGTTTATAAGACTAAAAAGAATTCTGATGTTTAAATTCATAACTCTACAAGGCAAACAACATCACTGTCACAAAGTTGGACCTTATATTGCACTTTGACTTCACCAACATCCTGTTAGAAAGTACTGTTCCAGTCTGTCACAAGTTGAACTTGATTTAAGTCGGTGACTTATGTACATAAAAACTCCTCCCACACTCCTGATATAACCTGTCAATCATCCTCCATATCACTGCCCTTATTGGATCCCTCGCTTTGAGCACCACTCCCCTCTTGAGATGCCCCTCCCCCTTCTTCTTCACTGTCACTTTCCACAATTCGTGCTTTCTTCTTCTTAGGACCTTTTTCTTCCTCAGAATCCTTCAACAAATTAACAGCAAAACATCATATTCAAGCTATGTAGAGGTCAGTTTTTTTCTTAAAAAGCTAATTAAAAAAAAAAAATTGCAAAGACAGAATGTTCCAATTAGAGTAACTTTTTCAAAAGAGATTATACAGTTAAACTTCAGTTATCTTAAACTTCAACTTCTCGAATACCATGGATATCTCAAAGTTATTTGGAAGTCTCCACCAACTTTTCTAAAGTATTATTAACCTCAATATTTGAACCCTTGGATATCTTATAATATTTCCTGCTGTCCCATCGATTTCAAGATAGCAAGATTTGACTGCATAGTAAAGTTTTTCCAAAACTGATCTAGATGGAATGAAATTCAAAGACTAGGATTGACTGTATAAAACTATAAACTACGTAAAATACCTATAGAGCAAACTTTACTAACTCTGGATGATACAAATACTTATTTAGGCATTTTTCAAGATTCATTTTTAATGTCAATTTTGTGTCAGAGCTAGATTACACAAAGAATCATATATGTACTATATATTTATTACCATATCTTTCCCTACACAATTCTTAGATATGGGTTGAATAATGAGAAATGCAATAAAATTACATGTACATGTAGTACGGTTTAACAGAAACTTTTTTTTTTCAATATGTACGTTTTGGATTCCTAAACCTCATGTAACTGTGATATAACATATCTTCAGTTTACCTTGTGCAATGCCAGTACACGTGCATGTATTACATAACAGAGTTGATTGAGCAATTCTTTAAGAGGTTATGTTCTAGTTCTTGATCCATAAAATCATGTTTGAAGTTTAAATTACTACAGGACAGCTAATTTTGTCTTGTCTT